AGTCCTCTGGCGCCGTTTCTCCACGACTATGTAAACGAATTTTTCTTGGACATCCTGCTTGCTTAATTGCAGTCGGTAGTAAAGTTTCATTATCAAGAAGACACATTTCTGCATCAACAGGATAAACTGATTCCTTGTAAACATTCTTAAGAGTGGTAGTATGATATGTAAAATGTACAAATTGTGAGAGTTGCTGATGTGTTTTAAGAATGGCAGCACAGGAATATACACAAGGAAACTGATACTCTTGAAATTGTTGACAGGTACAAGTTAATAAAGCAAAAACTACGATACGGAAGTTGCCATTATCACTTTTAACTTCAAAGGTTGATACATCAACTTGATATACCATTCTGTTATGATATCTGTTGATAACAGATTGACGCTGCTAGGTGGTTGTTTGCGGTAATATTGTATCCACCAAATAGTATGCTGTACAATGATTATAGTATAATGAATTGACTTTGCGTACAAGTAAAAGAATCGTCTCAAATGGCTCAACAAGACATTTATCAGATAAACAAGAATTAAAGGACTCTGATGTGTTGGACGTAAGGTGACCAAATATATTTCAGGGACATTTACTAAGAGTCTATGTTTCAGGTGGTATTTCGTTAAGATAAATGGCAGCTTCCGCATGTAGTTTAGAGATATCTTTCATAATATTTTCAAAATCTTCTATATGTAATGCCTTTGCCGCAGCCCAAATTTTACCCCCAAGTTTAGTTCTGAACTTCGTATTGACATTTTCTCAATATACCAAACACAATGTGCGTGAAAGGCATTAGGAAGTTCTGTTCGTACAACATCAGCAATACCCTACATATTTCAATGTCATAATATGAAATTTTAATTTTTTATTTTTATTTTTTTTTTTAATTTTTTTTAATTTTTTTTTTATTTTTATATTGTACCAATTTACCTTTTCGCGGTCACTAATAATCACAGTTTCATTTGTATTAATTGTTGGAAGAGCTGTATGGAGAAGTTCACAAAACCATGCCCAATTATTAGAATTCTCAATTGAACAAATCGCAAATGCTACTGGGACAAGTTTGCCTTCGCCTTCAATTGTGCTTGTACCAAGAAACACTCCCCTATAACTCGATTTCGAATGGCAAGCATCAAAAGTAAAAACAGATCTGCAATGTTCAGTGACTTTAATCCATGGATGCAAGCATAGAAATGCATGATTAAATCGATCAACATCAAATGCAGTAACACTCCCGGGGTTTGCAGTAAGTAAATTATCAAGTAGTGACTTTATACGTTGGTAACTCTTATTTATTTCCTCTGCCCCACGTTTTTTATTAGCTGTTCTACTTCTCCAGGCTCCCATATATAATGTTTCAGCCCCCACTTCAGAGCAAACACGATTCATAATATCATGAGG